TACCTGAGAGGTACGTCTGATGTTGGTCTCATATATGGAGGTGGTACTCACTGTTCTATGACCGGCTATTCTGATTCTGATTATGCTGGAGATGTTGACAGTAGAAGATCTATGACTGGTTACGTTTTCACTCTGGGTGGTTCTGTTGTTAGTTGGAAAGCAACTTTGCAGACTGCAGTTACTCTCTCTACTACTGAAGCAGAATATATGGCGTTGACAGAAGCTGCTAAAGAGGGAATCTGGTTGAAAGGGCTAGTTGGTGATCTTGGTCTGCATCAAGAGCAAGCTATTGTGTTCTGTGATAATCTGAGCGCTATCTGTTTAGCCAAGGATCAGGTCCATCATGAGAGGACCAAACATATTGATGTGAGGTATCATTTTCTGAGGAATGAGAAGAAAATCAAGGTGGAGAAAGTGGGCACTGCTGATAACCCTGCTGACATGTTCACCAAGCCGGTCCCACATAGCAAGTTCCGACATTGTTTGGACTTGCTTAACATCAGAAGCTGTTAGTAGCCCTGCGGGGCAATTCTGAGGAAGAGGGGGAGGTCTGGCACAATCAAGAGTGCGTCTGAAGAATCAGTACGGAGAATTCAAGTCAAGGTGGAGATTTGTTAAAATGCCTTGAATCTGACCCATCACAGCTCCGAATCCGGAGAAGTTCGTTTTCTGAGAAGTCCGCTTTCGGAGAAGTCAGAGTTCGGAGGAGTCAGAATCTAGAGAAGTCAGAATCCGGAGAAGTCAGAATCTGGAGAAGTCAGAATCCGGAGAAGTTAATTGGGCTTCTAATTATCTGTTAATTCTGTAGTTTTGGGCCCAAGTATGTTAGGGTTTAGTCAAGCACTATTTATATGGGTGCTACCACAAACCCTATGAGCTGTACTCTGTTTTGCCTCTCCTTTCAGAAATAAAACTGCTCCCCCTCTTCCCCGTGGACTAGCCAACACAACGTTGGTGAACCACGTTAAATCTGTTGTTGTGTTTTTCTGTTTGTTCTTTGATTACTCAATACCCTATTCCGTAACAACAGTTTGAATCATGATGGTTGAGAACAGAATTATTATGTTTCATTAATGGATAGAATGGGCCTATGGGGATGAAAATTTAACTTGGTAGTAAACCGTAAACCTGACCTGCTATCAAGCCTTAGAGCTCTGCTCATCATCCCCATTAGATGAACCAAATAGAAGAAGTGAATTGAATTATACAAATGGACATGGTTATTTGACTAGTTTAATTAAATTGAATTACAAGTTAAGATAGGACATATTGAGGTAAGGTCAGCCCGTACATCCTATCGTCTCAGATTATGTTGGGTTCGTAGTTGCTGTTGTACATGTTAATATAGTTTGAGCTAGTTCATTCCTTGCAACTTTGATTCGTTGATACTTTGATGTTTCAGTATCGCTCAAACTTCCCCAGTTTGATTAAAGAGATTGCAGTGTTTGTGGATTTGGCCCCAAGGTTTGAGATGATGGCAGAAGAAGTATTACAGAGACAAATTCGACTTGTTCTTCTTAACCTAGAACAGGTAAATTTTTCTAATCTAGGAAAATAATAATAAAAACATTTGTCTTTGCAGCTACTGACAATGTATACTATTAATCTATATGATTCCAAGGCCATTGATGGTGCTGACGGATTTCAAAATACCCATCTCATTAAGCAATATGAATCTGCTAAACTGAGTATTGACCAGGTAAAATTATGGAACTAGTGCATTACTAATCTTTCTGTTTTTTTGTCATACCAAATGGAATTAGTCAACTGTTTTTTTATCAGGTTGTCTTTATACTTGAGAAAGTTCATATTGTTTGGAAGTGTTTACTGCTACCTTCCACATATAAGAGTAGTATGAGCATTGTTCTTGAGGCAATATTTTCTAGAGTAGCAAAGGACATACTTCTAATAGATGATATGGCAGCTGAAGAAACATTGCAGGTTGGTTCCAAGAATAAATACTACGGAGTAGTATATAATTACATTATTGAATTTAGATTTTTTTATAGAGCTTTAGTAACTTTTGCGATATTGATTTGTTTACAGGTTCAAAGTTTGATTCACTTGCTATTTGAAAACCTTCAACCATTTATGGATTTCCTTCAGGCCATCATTCAGAGAGAGAAGTTACAGGATTACCCCCTGCAAACTATTGATGATCTCATACCATCATTTCGGAAGTTGAAGAAGCTGGAAGGTATTATACTTTTATAAGCACTTCAATGGTGCTCTAGAAATTTCTTTTATTTGAAAATACGTGGTCGGGAGTGATGTTGACAAAACTATCATTTCCGTGAAGCTCTTTTGGACATGCCATTGAAGTTGATCACCGAATCTTGGGAAAGTGGTGAACTTGTCATTTGTGGTTTTACATCATCCGAGGTAAAGTATTAGATAAAATATGGTGTTAGTTTCACTAGGACTATTGATTGCATGATCATAAGTTACTTTTGTGCATGGGAGAAAGCAAAGTTACTCTGTGCATAATCACGTGACTGGCAAATAACATTAGAATGAAACCGGTTCAAGAAAAATGACATCCCCTTTTTATAAAAAGAGGTCATTTTCCCAAAAGAAACCAAAAGTAATATTTTCTTTCATGAAAATATTTCTGCGCCCAAAAACAAGAAAATCCGTAAACATCTTTAAGGACAATGTTTCCATCATTCAAGTGAATCTTGTAAAAGGTTTTATTTGTTTAATATTGTGAGGGAAGTTGCTACTCCAAAAAGGGACTTTTGACCCCACAAGTATTAGGTCATTACCACATATGGTCTCATCTTTCTCTTTTTCCACATTTGGTGCACCATATCAATAATCTGCTACCTCTTTCATACTGATTTTCCGGCCACATTTATGCCTCTGGGCTGCTGCTACCAGCTAGTTATTAATTCCAGGGCAGGGGTCACGATCTTGTTTTGTTTGGTAAAACCTCACTCTTTGACTTGTGAGGTGGAGATTGAGATTGACTTCGCTTTGGGCAAGCTGAGAGGTGAATGGATGCAGTGAGGGACAGGGAACTCGAAGAAAGCTGTAGACGAACAAATGGATTTAGGTTCTGATTCGAGTTTGTTTTTGCTTTTTTCTTCAATGGAAATGAAGAATCCATGGCGAACCCAATTACCTTGTTCTTACAACAACAGCAGCAGCAACAACAACATCAAATCGTCACTTACCTGCTGTATTTTGCTTGGAATTTGATGCCACCTAGGAATTCGCCCAATATTTGGAGTGAGACATTGGATTTTAGTCAGTGAGGAGGACAATGTTGATGAACATGTTTGGACAAAAGGTTGAGTGCTACACAGTTTTGTACATGGGACTGAGGCCGAGCTACTAGGGTAGGTGGGTACTTGAGATTGGCCTTTCATGAAGTCTGAGCCTGGGGCACTTTTGACACCACAGAAAATGCTATCATGGACCACACTCACAAGGTGTACAAGTTGATGAGAGGAGGGGACGCATGGCTCAATTTTCCCCAATTGAATTGCCAAGGGTGGGGGTGGCAATGGTGCCTTAAAAAACAAAACCTCAAACCAAAAAGGGAATGACATTTTGCCTTTCCAGTAGTAATTACCCGTGGAATTCGCCGGATATGGTAGCAAATTGATAGTTGTGCACAAAATGTGGAAAATGTGAAAGGATGTCGGAATGACTTAATACCCACGGGTCAAAACTCAAAAGCAGATGTTTCTTTTTAAGTTTTTAAGAGATCATACTTTGCAGGTGAAAAACTTCATCATATCCATATTTACGAAGTCAACAATGCGAAACGAATGTATACATAGAATAGAGGCCGCCGCATTTGGCTAAGACGTGTTCACCAGGATTTGAGTTTTCTTGTAGCTGTGTACTTAGGTCATGTGTTATACGGAGTATATTGTTTTCTCTTGAAGTTCATAGATATGTTCAACAAATCATCAGATGTACTGCAACAAACATTTTTAATCTCACTCATTTTTTGTGATTAACGAAACAGTCGACCAAAACTTGAACTTTGATAGTAGTGTGATGCCCCTTTCCTCGAATTTATGTGAGAAATTGTTTAGAATGTGTAGCTTACACTAAATATCCCGAAAACAGGACTGAATATCTGGGGTGGCCAAAAAAACAGAACTCGTATGGTACCATATTGGACCGTAATGAAACCAAATTGTTTATCCTGTTTTAAAATGAGATTCTCTTTTTTCATTCTGAACCGAAATTGAACTTATTCAAACACAAAAGGACAGGATTAGGATTCAAAAATTTAAAATTGATTATCATGGACAGAATTGCTTGATATTAACTATGGAGGATCCTAAGGATTTATTTGTGTACTTCATCTTATCATATACGGAGTACTCTGCATTGTGTTTTCAATCTTTTATGGAGTAATATTTTTTCATTTTTTGTTAGTAAATTCACCCTGGTATGAGATGATTCGGGAGCCGTACAATGCTTCGTTCTAGTAGTACCACAGATCGTGCTCACCCTTACGAACATTGAATCACACAAGCAACTAGGTGAAGGGTTAATTGATTGGATTCGTTAAATTGAGCCAACAATCAGATCAATGATAAGATTAGTCTTATAGACTAGTACTACCTTTATTTTTTGAATGTTATTGACTCTACTTGTCTACTACAATATAGTACTGAGTATATAGAATAGTACTCCCTCCGTCCCCCTAAGATGTTCTCATTTTGACTTTTGGTGGTTTTTAAGGAGAGTTGAAAAAAAGTGAAAAATTACCATAATACCCTTAATGAAAATGGGTGGAGTGCATTAAATGAGATGGGTGAGGTGTAATAAATAAAGTAAGTGGGGGTAGTTGTAGTATTTTAATTGTTAAAAAATGAAATGAGAAGATTTATTGTAGATAAAGAAAAAGGGCTATTGGAAAGATCTATGGTGGATAGAGGGAGTATATAATTTTATATTTGTATTATGCAAGGAACTAATAAGTTCGAAGGCCCAAGTTTTTCATGTGTACTTTTAATGAAAAATTTAATACTAATACTCCCAGAAATTTTAGATCAAACACCAATATTTTAGGATTGCATAACCTTTACCAATGTTCTAGAAATTTTTAAATTTTTACAAAAAATACTCCAAAATAATTTTTAGTTTTTATGAAACTTTCAATTTTTTAGATGTATGTGTGATTAATATGCAATCTTAGTTCCTCAAAAAAATGCAATCTTAGAGCATTATTGTAAAAATATTAATTTCTCAGAGTGTAGGTGATAATTATGCAATCTTGGAATTTTTGTATAAAACTTTACTCCCTTCGCCCCAATTTAAATCTCTTGTTTCGGTTTACAATGTCTGATTGAAGTTATTTTTAATACGGAGTACAATTTATTTGAGAATTTGGATATATTAAAAAAACTAAATTTATATAGTTAAAAATTAAAACAAAAGATTTACGAAACAAGAGATGACGTGAATATTTTATATTATCAAATGAATAATGAAATTAGGGAAATAAAATAAATAAAGTTTGATAATTGGGACGGTTTGAGTAGATTTCTCTCATTTTCAAATGATAACCTATATGTCTTCCGTCCCACTTGTTTTTTAAGGATTCTAATTTTTTGATTCTATACACTTCTTTCATTTTTATTTTTGTCATATCAACCCCACACCCGCTCCTATATTTAAAGGGGAGACTTCCCTAAAAGGGAAGAATTCTGTGATAGAATTCTAAAATATCAAAACAATTTTCATTTAGTGACAAAGGAAGTCGGCTTCCTTTGAAAAAAAAAGAAAAATTATTCACGTGTTCTGTCATTTTCTCCCTTTTTTTCCTTATTCAATTACCCTATTCAATTACTCTACCTCTTTTTTCCCTTTTCACACCTTCCAACCATCTTTTCAAATTCAAACACTCTCCTTCCCTTTCCAACACATTATCTTAAATTTAAATCTTTTTAATTTCTTCCTTATTCAAATCCTCAAAATTATACGGAGTATCACAATTCACAACACAACACTTCTTCATTCTACTCTCAATAAAAAGGTATGTTATTAATTTTTTAATTTTTATTCTTTAAAATCATTATAATTTGTTTGGCAAAAATGATTAGACTTTGTTTTTATTATCATATATATAAATTTATTTAATTGTTAGAAATATGGTATTTACTACTCCCTCCGTCTCCCATAGATCTTTCCAATAGCCCTTTTTCTTTGTCCACAATAGATCTTCTCATTTCATTTTTTAATAATTAAAATACCACAACTACCCCCACTTATTTTATTTATTACACCTCACCCACCTTATTTAATACACTCCACTCATTTTTCATTAAGGGTATTATGGTAAACTTTCACCTTTTTTCAACTCTCCTTAAAAACCACCAAAAGTCAAAATGAGAACATCTTAGGGGGATGGAGGGAGTATTAAATATTATGAAAAAATGAATCAAATAAATTCTAATGATAGATATATGTTGCTTTTATATTTTGCATTTGTATATAATAACTTTAGGGAAGTTTTGTATAAATGGTAGAAATATATTTGGAGTATATTAGAGTATATTTATTTTATTTCTTTTATATATGTTTGATACATTATTATGGTCCAACATTTGTACATAGCATGGAAGTATGGAGTATATTTTATTTTATTTCTCTTATATTTCCATGTATTTGCATTAAATTTTATGAAGCAATGGACCAAATTGAACATGATATTGCCGGTCCTCGAAACGATGCTGTGTTAACCCTTCAACAGAAGCATCATTCTAGACGTGTTTGGGAAGTGGAAGATTTTCTTGATGCAAAAGTTTTTTGTTGTCGGTATGACGCCGGCGTTGAAAGCTCTTACGAAGATGATCGGATAGAGACAAATCTCAGAATTGCTGGTTCTTACGGGGTGCATCGTGTACAACCCCTTAAACTGGATCATAGTTTAATCACGGTCCTATTGGAACGGTGGAGACCGGAGGTTTAGGCCTTTCAGTTTCCTTTTGGCGAATTAGGGATTACCTTACAAGATGTTGAGTGTCTTCTTGGATTACCTGTGGATGGTGAACCCATTGTTTTTACGCAAAATGTTCAATAGGAATGATCGATCACCCAAAGTAACTTCCCTGTCGCGATTAAGTTCAAGTGATCAATCTTGATGGTTGGGTCGATCCGTCGAAGTATTTGCTGAGTCGGAAATAAATCCATAGGATCAATCCAGGGGCAGGGATCGATCCTCCGAATAATGGCTTGGATCCGGAAATGAATCAATTAGCCCAGGTGATTGATCCAGAGGCTGGGACCAATCCAATGTCGAAAAGCTCTGCACACGATAATCGATCCATAGAGGTGGATCGATCCTCTGACGATTTATGTCCAAACATGAAGGCCTCAAGGCATGTGTGCGAGTTGGAAGTGCGATTTGGATGTATTATTTTGTTTTGGACAAGGAAATCAGGGGAAGAGGCTCCTAATCCAATCAAGATAATTTAATTTGAATTTTGAATGATGAAGGTAAATTTTTGTGTAGAAATGAGTCCCAAAAAATATTTTGTGTGTCAAATGATGTACATAAATATATTAAAGTATATTTTTCTTAACCACAAAAAAATTGTATATCTTAAAAAGATAATTTAAGAATTTTTGACACACCCTTTTTGTAACTGACCCAATAAAATATTTTTAGATAGAGAAACTTTTTTTATCAACTGACTCAAAAAATAATAATTTATCCCTCAAAAATTGATTTGTTTAAGTGAAAAATATTTGTCATCCTTACAATTGTTCCTACGACTCAATACAAATAAAAAGTCTTCGAAATCTTCACTTTACTTCAAAAAACTCTGCGTAGGGGTGAGCATTGAATTGAACGTTGTAAATTTCTTGATACGCCTCTTTGCTTTCTCGATTCGAAAATAAAGTTTTCGATTGTCGTTTCGATTTCATGGTTTCGTTTGTCATTTATCAAAACTTGAAAAATAATATTAACGAATATACAATATACAAAAGGGGTTTGAACTCATGTTCAACATTTCCCACATAAATTGCATAAAACATCTATATCCAGGTATCTACTCATTCTTACTTTAGTCAGCAGTGTGCCCCTCATAACCAACCAAAATATAAATTGAAACTTGGGGGTGTCAGCTTGTTTCGCACTTGTTCCTTCCATTGAGGTATATTTCTGTCCTCTTGGAGCCATGTGTATGCATACCTGATCTTATATTCCACTCCTATATGCATATCAACAAACTCCCTTCTAATCTTAACCATTTCTTTCCAGCAATGGCATACATTCGGTTTAAGTATATAATCCCAAAAGGTAGAGAGTTTAATACACCTACTATGAATCCGCTTGACACAAAGAATATCCTTTTTAGTAGCCACATCCCAAACTAATTTTATTACAGCAGCCTTATTCCAACTGGACAAATTATTAATCCCTAAACCTACATACCTTTTATCAACACAAACCTCATCGCATTGTACCAGAGGGATTCTTTTGTATTCAGTAGATCTACTCCTAAGGAAGTTTCTACAAACATCTTGAACTTTCTTAATCACAGTTTTAGGAAGAACAAAAATCCTTGCTCAAAAGGTGATGACACCAATAAGAATAGAATTAATCATTCTAATTCTTGCAGTGTAAGAAAGTTGTTTTGAGCTCCATGCAGAAATCTTTTACAGCTAACAACTTTTAATTTGTAAGTAGTTATGGGGATACACAAGTAGGAGAAAGGAAGCTTCCCTCTCCTCTTTTTGGTGATCTCATGTAGGTTTTCTTGTTGCTTTTGATCCAGTCCTCCAAAAACAACTTGTGACTTATTCATGTTAACTTGAAGTTCAACTGTAGACTTGAAGATGTCCAAAGCCTTCATAATGTTACATAAAGAACTGCTATCAGCTTTGCTTACCACAATTAAGGCATCTACAAATATTTGTAATTTTGAGGTTAGCACATGAGGGATGATATGAAATATCCCCCCTTCGAGCCATTCTCTGGAGGATTCTAATTAAA